CTGCCTTCCACAATATGGGGGATAATGAGAGATCTTTTCCTGACCTGATCAATAGCGTAGAGCCAATTCCAATGACAAGATCAATATTTTAGTTTACCCGGTGCCTAACACAATATTTTAACTTTTCGTCCAATGCCCGTTCAATGCCTTTCCAAATCCTTCCCCTGCCTTGCCTTTTTTTGTCTTCTTTCCTTTCCTTCTTCCTTTCTGTTTCTTTCCTGTCCTTTCCTTCTTCCCTTCCTCTTCTTTCCTTTCCTTTTTCTTTTTCTCTTCTTTTTTTCCTTTCCTTTCCTTCTTCCTTTCCTTTCCTTTTCTTTCCTTTCCCCTCCTTCTTCCTTTCCTCTTCTTTCCCTTTCCTTCTTCCTTTCCTTTTCTTCATTTACCTTCTTTTCCTCTTCTCTCCTTTCTTTTCTTTTCATTTCCTTTACTTTCTCCTTCTTTCATTTCCTTTCCTACCCTTGCCTTACCTTACCTATCTTTTTTGTCTTCTTTCCTTTCCTTTCGTTCTTCCACTCCTCCTCGTTTCCTCTTCTTTCCTTTCCATTTCTTTCCTCTTCTTTCCTTCTTTCTTTTTCTTCTCCCTTTTCCTTCCTCCTTTCCTTCTTCCTTTCCTCTTCTTTCCTTTCCTTCTCCTTTCATATTCTATTCTTTCCTTCTTCCTTTCCTTTCCTCCTTCCTTTCCTCTTCTTTCTTTTCCTTCTTCTTTTCCTCTTCTATTCTTTCCTTCTTCCTTTCCTCTTCTTTCCTTTCCTTCTTCCTTTCCTCTTCTATTCTTTCCTTCTTCCTTTCCTTTCCTTCTTCCTTTCCTCTTCTTTCTTTTCCTTCTTCTTTTCCTTTCCTTTCTTTTCTTTTCATTTTCTTTACTTTCCCCTTCTTTCCTTTCCTCCTTTCCTTTCCTTTCCTTTCCTTTCCTTTCCTTTCCTTTCCTTTCCTTTCCTTTCCTTTCCTTTCCTTTCCTTGCCTTGCCTTGCCTTGCCTTGCCCTGCCCTGCCCTGCCCTGCCCTGCCCTGCCCTGCCCTGCCTTGCCTTGCCTTGCCTTGCTTTGCCCTGCCTCCCCTCCTCTTCCCTTCCCGCTCCTCTCCCCTCCTCTCCTTCCCTTCCTCATCATTAGTAGTCTTTGACTGATCATTCAAGACACACTACTAGGTTTGATCCATGCAATTTGTTTTTTTCATGATTTTGTCATTCCCGTCTGTAGTTATGAACAAATAAAGNAAGCCAGACCTCGGCCATTAAACTTTATCTGCTGGTTTGTGTCTGTGTTGTTTGAAAGCTTATTTGGTTCTGCGTTCCCTTGGCTGGGCTACAGATGAGTGAGACAACTGGGAGTAGGGGACTTCAGAGCTGCTGCTCCTGTTCAGAACAGCACATAGTATGCTATTCGCTTCTTTCTTTTCCCATTATTTTTTCCCCTTTTCTCATATTGCGCAAGATGGCAGCAGTGTCTAACAAATGAACATTCTCCACTTTACAAAAATAAAACTGTGGTTTTGTCCGTTAGTCTGATGGTTTCCTCTGCTGCTTCCGAACTATCACTCAGCAGGTCCCTGAAGACCTTCCTTCCCCAAGAGACTTTCTATAACTCTTTTCTTTCTTTCTACTTATTTATTTCTTCCTCCCTTTTTTCCCTCCCCCACACTCCCCTCCATTCCCTTCTCTTTCTTTCCCATTCCTCCCCTTCTCTTCCTTCAGCATTGGCATTCCTTGTGTAAACATTCACCAATACACATGCTTGTATTCTTCCATTCAAGTATAGGTTTCTGCATGTTTCTTTCTTCCCCAACCCTAATTATGAATGAATAAAGAGGGCAGGCAGTGAACCAAGAAAGAGGAACTGTTTCAAATGTATCAAGCTTGGTCTGACAATGTAAAAGGAAGAAAGGGAGATAACTGTGTCTCAGAGCTTATAGAAAAGAGTTATAGAAAGTCTCTTGGGGAAGGAAGGTCTTCAGGGACCTGCTGAGTGATAGTTCAGAGACAGCAGAGGAAACCATTGGGCTGACAGTTGAAACCACAGTTTTATTTTTGCAAAGTGCAGAATGTCTATTTGTTAGACACTGCTGCCATCTTGCGCAATATGAGAAAAGGGGAAAAAATAATGGGAAAAGAAAGAAGCGAATAGCATACTATGTTGTGCTGTTCTGAACAGGAGCAGCAGCTCTGAAGTCCCCTACTCCCAGTTGTCTCACTCATCCGTAGCCCAGCCAAGGGAACGTAGAACCAAACAAGCTTTCAAACAACACAGACACAACAAGCAGATAAAGGTTTAATGGCCGAGGTCTGGCATGAATAAGTCTTGATAGATGCAAAGTCTGCACTGGAAGCTATTCCCTCCCAGGGCTGTAAATAGCCATAACCACGCCCATGGCCCATCTCATCCCCATAGCCAGCATCTGGCAGTGCACAGTCCTCTTTCCTTTATTCCTCCAGGTCTGCTTTGATGTAACTGGTGCCAGTCAGCTGTTCTGGCTGTTTTGCAGTTGGCATCAGTCAGCTGTTCCGGCTGTTTTGCAGTTGGCACCACTCAGCTGTTCTGGCTGTTTTCCAGTTGGAACCAGACAGCTGTTCTGTCTGTTTTGCAGTTGGCACTAGTCAGCTGTTCTGGCTGTTTTGCAGTTGGCACCAGTCAGCTGTTGAGTAATGGGGCATGCTGGTCTGGAGAAGGAGGCAGCCATTGGGAGCACCTGGGCAGCCATCCACTGAGCCCACACTGTTCCCACAGCCATCCCACAATCATTTCCACTGCTCCCCACTTCCCACCAGGTATGGTAACCCAGACAGGGCTTGACAGGTAGAAGAATAACTTGTTCCCCTTTGCAAACAATGGTAGTCTGAAGGAAGGACAAAGTTATCTCAGTCCCTGAATGAGAAAACATAAAGGTTCTTCAAGTAAAGCCGAGGAGCAAGTAGGTTTTTCACACTTCCTCCTTTGCTTTCTCTCACTGTGTACTTCATGCACAGTAATATGTGGCTGAGTCTGCAGCTGTCAGGGAACTCATTGCCAAATAATACTCATTGCGGGAGGAATCGGCTGTCAGGGTTGTTCGGCTTTGGAGGGATGAGGCATAGGATGTCCTCCAGTTATTATTAGCCCAGTCTATCTGGCCCACCCATTCCAGTCCTTTTCCTGGAGCCTGGCGGATCCACTCCCAGTACACGTTCTTGATGGAGTCCCCTGTCACTTTGCACATTAATTTGAAGGATCCTCCAGGGCTCACTATTCCTGGCCCAGATTCCACAAGTTGGACAGTGGAGTGGACATCTAAATGAATGAATGACAAAGCAGGAATTAGAACACAACTCTGCTTTTGTTTTATCTCATTCTTCATATCCATCTGGAATATACTCACACACAGGAGT